CACATCTTTACCCTACTCTCTCTCTCTCTCTCTCTCTCTCTCTCTCTCTCACTCTCACTCTCACTCTCACTCTCACGCACACACACACACACAAAGAAAACACATTATGGGCATGACAATTTCGATACCAATATGATTAATTACTTGCCTTTTTTTCGTGAATTTTGCAGATAGGATGGGTAAAAGCAGGGAGTTGCTCAGGGAGGATATATTTTTTGGGTGAAAAACAGTCACCCTAGCTGACCTAAATGGAAAGGAAAAACTTAAAATAATGTCAAAAACCCAAATATCAAATTCTGACATTATAAATATTTGATTTTCCATTGGACTAAAAGCATACAGACCAAAGATCAGCAGATTAGATTGAATGGAAAATCTGATCACGGTGATACATAGGTTTTTCAATTGAGCAAATGTATACTATCGAGTGTACCCAGTAACAAAAAAGGAACACATTGATAAGTGGTACCTACATATTACCTGCTTTCTATAGGCTGAACTCGATCCACCCTGAGGTTCATTTTGAACTTCAATTCCTTCAGTATGCCTTGGAGGTGGAAAAAGCAAAGTAGGCTGTGAAAGTATACGAAAAAGCAATGCTGCTGCAGCATCTGCCGCAATGCCTGCTCTCATGGACATAGCAATGCCAATTGCACGAAGAAAATGCAGATGCATCCAATTTCTTGGAAGCTGCATCAGAAATTAAACAATGGAAGAAATTCATTACTCTCAATGAAGTAACTATATATCTATCATCATTATGCAATAAGTCCTCAATACAATTTTAAAAATACAAACTTGAAAGTTCCAAGAGCTTTGGTCCAGTGTTGTGACAATTTACTTACATGAGAGGTCAAGGGTTTTAGCCCTTAAGTTTGTCCCTCATATAAACCAAGACAAACTATAACTTCAAAGAAGTACAGATTTGATGTGGGCAGATTGTTACCAATTATAGTTTGTTCTTATTACTAATTCCACCAATGATACTAGAAATACATATACAGCAGGGTGCAACACTCTTTATCAATGAGCCAAATCCAACAATATAAGAGAACCCAACTTAATTTGATGTTACACTACAGCATGTAAAACAGATGAAACAATTTTATACCAAACATGCTACCTATTTGTTCAAAGGCAACTGTTTTTTTTCCCTTAACATACTCAGATGAAGACTATTGGCGTGTTAAAAATGGCATCCTTGTCATGGTTCTCATGTGCTATGTGAGTGTTCTTTATTCCATTGCGCCTCATGCTACATGCAAAAACCATCGCATTGATCAATGCTGGCAATGGGTCATAGAGATCGACTGGTGTGCGATTGGAACTAGAACGTTACCTTGGTTCAGTGGTGGTATCATGGTTGTCTACTTTCCATGACTCACCTCGCATGTCATCTGGAACTCACTAGAACCGAGGAGGGGGCACATGTGAATCCCTCACTAGAAATATAGAATGAATTCTATCATGCAACAGCTCTCGCACATGCTGTAGTTACCTTGGAAAGTGGAAGACCAAACTCTTTACAGTGCTTCTGATATGCGTACCAGTTTTGAGGACTGATTCTAATTGATGAAGTGTTGCTTTGTTTCAATATAAAATGGATGATGGTCATCAAGTGATAGTTACAAGTTCTGGTTGACAGGGAGTTTTTAGACTGACTGCAACATTGAGCAGTTTATAGAGTTACCTACTCAGGAAGTTGAGATCTGTGTTTTTCTTTGAATGGGGTTGGTTGATATGAATCTTCTACTGCACACCTGCTGATATTATTTTTTTTAAACCATAATATTGATAATTTATGTGTTCCCTTTGTTCACAGAAATTGTCCAGCAAAAGTTGAAAATGTGGCCCAGTTGTTTCAATTTTGAAGATATCTAAGATTGCTTTGACTTGATTTTCCACACCTATCGGTATTTCATCTTACTTGTCGATCTATGTTCATTTCAGTAACTTAAACTAGAAATCTAAAAAACATGTAGCGGGAGTTGGAGTTTGCATACTGATCTATGCTTTCTCTGCAACCCTCATGTCATATAAATTATACAAAAAACACGAGTTCTGGCATCCCTTACAGTTCAATACCCACGGAAACATGCCATTGCTAAAAATTATTTTTCAATGAAGGAGGGATATACTTATCAAAGATCCTTAAATATGCAATCATTCTCATCTGCAAGATCCTTAAATATGCAATCATTCTCATCTGCGTATTGATATTATTTGAGCAGAGTCATTAATGAAAATACCATTAAAAATACCCCAAAGATGTTCATAAGCTGTATCCACAGTTAATGTCTTTAACCAATTTAATGGTCAAATTCAATCATTTATTAAGACCTTCATGAAATTAATTTCCACTTACCCTCATGCCGGTTGCGTAATCTTCAGCTGCTCGAAGGAGTTCCACAAGTTGTACAGCAGCATCAAGTGCATCTGGAGCCCATGAGGGTGGAGCTTCTAGAAGGCCAAGGAGAAGCCTTTGTGTTGCACTTGGAGTTGCTATTGCGTAGTAACTACGATGAATAAAGATTTATATAAGGCAAAGAGAATATCTATCCAAAAAGTAATATTTGAAGCAACTTACAAACAAAATAAATGAGTATATGGCTCAAACTAAATGGAAAAACATTTAAAAGGAAAAAGAAACTAAGATGCCAAAAAGTAATATCACTTAAGTGACGTACCGATGAAATAAACGGGCATATGGCTCAAGGGCAGGTAATCCAGCGACTAAATGCTCATCAGCAGCTGTTGGTGGAGGAAGTAACAGTGCAGGAACAGCAGCTGCTGTCAGATTTGCAGTTTCATAACGGGCAACCTCTTCATCACAAACACTTAAAATAACACCAGCTCCATTTGCAACAGCCCATCGTGGAGTTGAAGGCATAAGTTGAGGATGCTTGCCAGATCCACGACCACTAGCTAGAATACAGGAAAAACTTGTGAATTCTCCAAAATGATACGGGTCTAAAACTCAGTAAATAGGGACCCTTTGCAATAAGTATGGTTGACATAGGAAAGACAAAATTCTCCATGATCTAAAACTACAACCAACTACTTGCATTTGTAGTATGTCACAAAATAGTACTAAGAAAGGACGTGAATAAGTATAATAATGCTTTTGCAATTTATAATTCATTAACTCCATGATAACGAGTAGAAAACTTATATGCATTTTTTATTTGAGTTGTAATGATTTATGATCAATTTCAGGTCCACAATTAACAGAAGGAAATGCATATGATGAGACCATTTACTTTTGATACAAGGTCACAAGCATTGTCAACCATTGGATGTGAAATCGGATGGGTGCTGCTATGCCACTAATTGAGCACAAAGTCCAAAAATTTATTTCTTGAAAGCTGTGATACATTTTAATATGTTAGATTTCACATCCAATAGCTAAGAAAAGTTGTGACCGTCTTGTACCAAAACTAATCTACAATCCCTTAATAGAGAGGCTCATTATCATTTACAAAAAAGGACTGCTATTAATTTAGGCATGCTTTTGATGATTTAACATCTTTGCTTGCTACATTTGGAGATTGGTAGCCTTGCATAAAGTTGATATATTTAATTTCATGTTTCTTGGTTTGTTTTCAGGTTGTCAATGAGAAATGGTGTCATAGTAGAAAGATCCAATGTTTTGATATAGATCTTGCTTCTTTTGCAGTATCCTGATATTTTTTTGGCAAAATCCATAAACAACGACACAAATGTATGTTCAGCAAGAAGTTACTTCCAAGGAATGCATCAACACTACAATGAAGAGAAAGGGATCCACAAATGTTTGTTCATCCCGCAACCTAGAGGTGCTTCTCTAAATTGACCAGTATTGCGAACTGAAGATTCCTGAGAGTCAGTATCATGAATTCGGAGGTCGCTAGAGCTATAAATATATGGAATCCCAACGATAGCAGCTTGAATACACAAATCATATCACAATAAGACTTCAAATATGGGAATTGTCCATATCCTGGTAAACTGAGAAACAAAAATACTAAATGAATAAATGAAAGAAGAAAAGCAAAAGAGATTAGTTTATGGGGTTCAACTACAACAAAAGCCCTTGGAGACTTGTATGCATCAAATAGCCAATTAAGGGAAAACAGAATTTGCTAACCTGTTGTAGGTGGTTTGAGCTCTCCACCAGCTGCATACTTACCCATGACACCACCACACCTGACATAATTTAGAACAGCAGTTAGTGAGAAACCGAAAGAAGAAAATTTACTTGTTGGAACAAAGAGTGTATACTAACTATTCATAAATTTATTTGTCCAAAACAGGCACAAATACTAACTATTCTTAGATTTGCATGGATAAATGCATGAAGAGAAACATTAAGCTCACCAGAAATTGACTCGGCATGTCCCATCCAAGACAAGAATTCATGAATATACAAAAACAGGACGTATCCATGCCACACTATAGACTGACAAAGAAAGAACAAAACCCGCAACCTAAACTAAAAGTAAATCAAACATCATCATCATCCGAGCCTTATCCCAACTATTTGGGGTCGGCTACATGAATCCTATTCCATAATTCCACTCTATCAAGGGCGGCTACAAGAATCCTATTCTGTCATTCGACACTATAGGACATTGACACAATATGAAAACCAAATCAAGAAGACATAGACTGACAAAGAAAGAACAGAAACCGCAACCTATACTTAAAGTCAACCAATCATCATCATCATCATCCGAGCCTTATCCCCACTATTTGGGATCGGCTACACGAATCCTATCCCGTCATTCCACTCTGTCAAGGGCCATACCCTCAATTAGACCACAAGTCACCATATCTCTTTTTATTAGTTTTATCCATATGTCCTTTTGGGCCTTCTCCTTGCCCTTTTAGAGCCTTCAACTTGAACCAAATCGCCTCTCCTAATCAGTGCTATTCTAGGTCGATGTTATATAAGGTCACACCACCTGAGTCTACTTTCCTTCATCTTACCACCTATTGGAGCCACTTCTAAGTTCCCTTGGATGTATTCATTTTGAATTCTATCTTACTTGTCTAGCCACTCATCCATCTCAACATCATCATCTCAACTGCACTCATTCTATGAATATATTGTTTCTTGACCGCCCAACATTTCGTCCCATAAAGCATGGCTGGTCTGACAGTTGTTATAGAATTTCATCCCATAAAGTAAGTCATGTTAAGTTTGCACCAGAAAAAGAAAAATAACAACTGGATTGCTATGATCTGAAGTAAGGCATGTTAAGTTTGCAAAAGAATCAACAAATGTGTTGAATTTTTATCAGTGCACACAAAATCCTATTGATTGCATGAAGTGAGGATTGAAGAGTAAACATGTCCATAGAATCTATTAGAAGATAACCATGGAGAATTCTCATGGAATTTAAACACAACAAATAAGATCACTTACCAACGAAAGTAATCACTTCTAATACCCAGAGGGGCAGCAAGCAATATATCTGTAATCCATGGAGAGAGAGGCCTTAATGGTTTCTTTTCAGGTTCCATCAGAAGTGGATGGCAGGCTTTTCCTTCTCTGCCACTGCTAGTTGTAGCATAGTTACCACTGCTACTCCTTTCTAATTCACAGTTCTGCTTTTCAACCTTAAATATTGGTCGGTTATAGTGAGTCAACACCCTCAATATTTCTCCACATGCCAGAGCCCACTGCTCAGAATAGTCCTTCTGAATTTAAATTACCAAAAATTAGCAGATGATAACTCACCCTTTGATAACATTACAGTCTCTATAATTAAGAGTAATGTGAAAGTATCTAAATATACGCTAAGACCATGTCCTAAAGCAGCAAGCAGATATACCATGCAAAGAAAATTCACTTTAAAGCAGAACTGACATACTGAAAGGAAAATTAGAGGGAGTACATGCATTGCGATGTTGTTATTTTCCAACAATTACGTACCTCACTACTTGGGCTGAACAAAGATATAAAAGAACTGAAAGGAGGGTTTCCTTTATCATATATCAAAGTCCCATCAATTATACATGAAAGTATTGGATGAATAACTGCATGCCCATGTTCAGGATGGTGAAGAACAAAGATTGCTGGAAAGCAAGAAAAACACAAGTGAGGCACAAACAATCACTGCCATCTAACTGAAAAGAAACAATGCATTTGGTTAGCAAATAATAGAAGTCATCTAGAGAACAAAAACAAGAGAAGACTTGACAAGAAATGTATGATACAATACCCAACACATCATCCAAAAGGCAAACTTCTTTGCTTGGATAACGGCTCTGGATAAGCTGCAAGAATTATCAGAAAACTTGAATTAATACTCTATATAGGCAATTTTATTTTCACTATAGCTGAATAGGACACACATTCATCATTTCCCTTCATGAACTTCCACCAAAGGAGACAAGGTACGAACCTCTGAGATGTCATCAGGGAAATGTTCTGATGTGAACTGTGCGAAAAGTTCAACATAAGCCATAATTTGTGCCTGCATTGAACAATTTTATGAAGATCCTATTAGAGGAAACAATGACTAGATGAAATATATGGCAAACTACGACGACTCAACAGGTCTCATCCACCTGCTTAAAAAGTAATGAAAAATAGAAAAACTAAAAAGCATAAAACAGATAAAAACATAAGCAAAGACAAGCATGGGTTTTTGGATACTAAAAACTAGGAAAGGACGGCAGTTTCTGAATCAATTTCCCAATACTTTAACAATCACATGTACATTATAGATAATAATATGAAAATCATAGACCAATTTGTATCAGTCCCAAAATACAATTAGAGTTCTTGTATCAAGTTTGAATTTAAGAAATTTCGATGCTAGAAACAAAAATCTCAACCATTCTCATATATCTATAGACACAAGTTAAGCATTCTCAGCCTTGGGAAAGGAACAGGAGATGAAGACAAGTTGTGGTCAAATGTGTGATTCAGGGAGGAGACCATAATTACCCATTTTCCAAGTCTTGCAAGTCTCACTCCTATTCCGATGGTTTCTATTAGGCAGATTATGGCAAAGCAGAATAACGTGGCGTGGCAACCTCAGTTTAGGAAGAAGTACAGTGACAAGCAGATTGCCAAACAAAGTTATCTATTATGGTTAATTATCAAACAAAATTAACTATTATGGTTGATAGAAGTATGCATCCCTGACAGGGGGTTTAACAGAATCGTGGACGTGGAATTCTGTTAGTCATCTTCCACATCTTTCCAAAATATCTTAGTACCACATTGTATTTTTCAGAGTAGATAAGTTTCAATTTCAGAGTAGATAAGTTTCATCTTGCATTCTCATCTTCGATTGGGTGGCCTCCCTTAACAAGAACTAGAACACAGACCATCTCCAAAGACATGTGGCCAACCTCAAATGTATGCTTCTTGTTTTAGAAGGCCAAGGAGACTATCAACATTCTCCTTCTACACTATTGATGTATACGTAAGGAATGGAAGTCGTCCTAGAGTTTTCTTTTATGTTTTATTTTTTATTTTTTTATTTTTGAGCTTGTGCCAATTTCAGTAAGGACTCACACAATTTATTGGTCTCAGGTGATCAACAAGGGCAGGTGCATTTCATGGCAGATGAGTTGGTTACTGCTTTTCTTCTTATTAGGTCGGAAAGCAATATTATGATCTTCAAGGTACATCCTTTTAACTGCTTAAATATCATATTAAATATGAGATTCTGTTGTCCATTGGGTTGCGGGCTCTCCACTTCAAAAAGTTCTTTAACTACAAAGTGAAGGACCTGATATTTAGAATGGAAGATAGTTGTGTCCTAGGCTCCAGTTTGAGGGCCCATTTAGCAGGTCTCATGGACCAAGCCACTGGACTGTTTCCAATCTTAACTTTGAAAAGAAGTTATTGTTGAAAACCTAGTTTTCTCAAAGGTGGAGAGCTTAATTACAGAATACAGGTAGCCTAGGGAGAGTCCTCAAGTAGGAATGTGAATAGGGCATGACAGCATGTTAGGTCATTAGGTCAGACCCAATCTGGGTGTGGTTCATGCCTTGAAATCCTGGCCCACTAGGTTAGGTTTGGTTAGGAAAAGCCAACCCGATTAGGAACAGATCAGGCCCAGGCCAAGTGTGATCAACATGTCAAGTTAGAACATGTATGTTGCAATCAAGTTGGGCCAGCCCAACTGGTTTTTATTTTGAAAATATCTTATTTTGAAGGGTAATTTGGTATTTTCCACATTGTGACACGATGTCCATGGGCCAGGGTCAGGAATTTGACCGAGCCATGTTTAAGCAGGGTTGCGTAAAGACAATAAGAACAGGGGAGGATCAGGTCTCAACCTGAATAATTTAAATAAGCTGGGCTACTTGGGGCTCAGGTCATATAAAATTCAATCACATGAATTCAGGCTGAAGAAAGCTGGCCAGGATCAGTATAAAGTCAGGAGAGATCAGCCCTACTACCTAATCAGGTCCAGCATTTTTGGCCATTACACAATCTCTTGACACCTCGTTCCTTAAGTCTTCATGGGAACCATTGTCATTTTCAGTTCTCCAGAGGAAGAAGCGAGATCAGCAAACGTAATAAAGAAGGTTTCCTAATAGAGGGTAAGGGGAACCATTAATCAAGTGTTGGCAAAGAAGTTAATAGCGAGGTGAACTACTTTCACTTGGAGAGAGCTCAAGGGAAGTCCCTTCTAATAGGGGATACACACGTCTTCCCTTGCGTATTCACCACATCTTCACTCTTCATTTCTCTTTTTCCTCTCTGTAGTGGTTGTCCCTTTGGTTGTGTTTCAATGGCAACTTGGTCTATCCTTTTTATGTTATTGTCAACTATATAGAAAAAAGATTAAATAAAGATCAAAACAAGATTTTACTTATTCTACATTTTAGTTTATATAACTAGAAGGCGACAGAAGCTCCCTTTCAATTCCAACTTGATACTTCTATTTTCGTTTAACAATAACACAAGAGCCTCGAAGGAGTTCACAAACCCTAGTTCTGTTCATGCCCATGCATGTGTAGCTTCAGACTTTCGGAAAGTTCCAGTGCAATAGTAACTCATATATAACTGCACTACATTTTAAAGTATATACCTCTGCAGACATATTTGTTCTTACAACACTGTGTGGAACTTGCTATACTCAAGAAACCAACTTTAGTCCTGATTTTCAGATCCATCTTATACTAGCTTCAAAGAAGCCATTTAAATGTGTTATGCTCCCTTCAGGAGGGAAGCAGTCAAGGGTAGGGGGGATTCCATTTTGGGAAACAAAATTTGGAACCCTGTTGATTTACCTCTTGGTTCGAAGGTTTTAGGCTGCATAGCAATGCAAACTAGATTTTGGGTTGTGATATATCAAAATCTACTGATGGTGGATCTTCACCTATGGTGGTGTTGTACTTGCATCGGGCTCCAAGAAGTGAACTTGAGTCTTCAGATCCATGATGGAATCATAGTTGATTGCCTTGGAGGACATTAGTAGGGGCAGAAATTGCTTAGAAATTTGTTACTAGACATATCACTCATTTAAAAGCATATACCTAGAGTCTCAATTCACTGTCATTGTTAAACTGTTGTATACCGAGCAATGAGAAAAATAATCAAGGGAATGTTGAGGCCAATCTGCTTCAGCCACATGCAATTGAGACAATTACCCTAATATGGAGGAAGTACTGTAAAACATGCCAATAACCAAAGCTTGGGTGATCTACTAACCAAAGGCCTTACAAAGAATTATGCAATACAACTAGACTGACAAGATAAAGGCCCACTAAATACAGGAAACAAATTACCTATGTGAAATTTTGGGGCACCAGTATCCACGTGTAACATAATGCAGGAAAGACCTCTTTTCCTGCCTCATCCCTGGTTGTGTAGAGCAGAGACCTGCAACTCGGTAGGAGCATGAGTTAAGCACTTGCTGAGCCTATTTGCTTGGACAAAGTAAGCCTAGCAATAAGTGCCGAATTGTAGGGACACCTCCCAATGATGCACCTAAATGAGAGTGGGAGTTCGGTTGCCTCCCATGTGAATGGCCCTTAGGTGCTCATGAAAACCGAGTTATAGTACGTAGGGCTGTCACAAATGTGTGGGCTTATTAAGGAATACAAAGACAGAAAGAGAAAGCATGTTATGTTGAAGGCCGACCCATTAAAGGACCTGGCCAAGTCCTTTAATGTGAGTCTTGAGTTTTGACCATGATTCGGTGTCCAAGGACTTGGCCAAGTCAACTCAAACTCAGCCTTGGTCTATGGCCAAGGCATGTACCACATACCTTGTGTACATGGGTAAGGTGAATAGTACTCACCCGAGTACTATGCTACTCATACATGGGTAAGGTGAATAGTACTCACCTGAGTACTACTCTGCTACTCATACTAGCCTATGTACTATAGAATTCGGGTGAGTAAGCCCGAACTCTAAAGTACTTGAGCGAGTATGCACATTACTCCCCTAAGTCCTATTATGTAATAAAAAGAGGGCACTTGTCCCCTTATTTCATTCTTCTCCATCTAAAATGGGGAGCACTACCCCCCTTTCATCTCTCTCGTGTACCAGGTACTCTCTCTAGCTCAAGCAGCTATGAACCACGTGCTCTCTTTCTCCCCCTCTCCCCCCCCTCTCTCCCTCTATCTCTCTCAAATGGGGGTGGATTTCCACCCCCCTATTTCATATCTCTCTCTCTCTCTCTCTCTCTCTCTCTCTCTCTCTCTCAACTACTCTACTACACTACACTACGTACGTACGTACTACCGTACCTACGTACCTTACGTACTCTACGTCTACTACTACTACGTACGTACGTACGTTCGT